TGTATACATGCTTCCCGGCCGGCCGAGTCAAGAAATAAATCAGGCTGTTGTGTTTAGTGGGCAGTACCAACCACTGACTATGACCCATTCAAGTGAATGGGGCTGCACAGCAAATGCTAAACGTTTACAGTTTTCACCACCGCCAGCTAGTCTGCTGTAAGCTGCAAAGGCAGCAGATGGAGATGTACACATACAGTACCACCCTCCAAATGCAACCCCTTCAAGTGAATGGCACCAGTCTGCAACTGCATGAAATGCACGTGGTGCAGGGTTTAAGGGCTAAACAGGTGGTGAAGAAGCAACAACTCCTCTTCATAGCCTGTCAAACACCCTCTGAAAAAGGATCCATTGAGTAAATGAGCCCTAGGTATATGGGGACTGCAGTGCCATCGTGCACAGTTAACAGTGTTAAAGTGGAACTAAAGTCCTGCTGTCGCAAATGGCGAGAAGGCAGGCTCTTTATTGCTGAACAGACATGTAATGTTTCTTCTGCGCTGAAATACACCTGCCTGTTTCCAGTGTTCTCCAGGATGTACACCAGCCTTCCTCAACCCTTAGGAACCCTTGAAATAGCCTTCTAGTCTCAGGGAGCCTCTAGTAAAAATAACTACATCTACAACTCATGATACATTAGTATGATGGTCACTGGGAAGAATGCTCCTTACACTTGTGGTCACTGGGGAGAATGCTCCTTACACTTGTGGTCACTGGGGAGAATGCTCCTTACACTTGTGGTCACTGGGGAGAATGCTCCTTACACTTGTGGTCACTGGGGAGAATGCTCCTTACACTTGTGGTCACTGGGGAGAATGCTCCTTACACTTGTGGTCACTGGGGAGAATGCTCCTTACACTTGTGATCACTGGGGAGAATGCTCCTTACACTTGTGGTCACTGGGGAGAATGCTCCTTACACTTGTGGTCACTGGGGAGAATGCTCCTTACACTTGTGGTCACTGGGAAGAATGCTCCTTACACTTGTGGTCACTGGGAAGAATGCTCCTTACACTTGTGGTCACTGGGGAGAATGCTCCTTACACTTGTGGTCACTGGGGAGAATGCTCCTTACACTTGTGGTCACTGGGGAGAATGCTCCTTACACTTGTGGTCACTGGGGAGAATGCTCCTTACACTTGTGGTCACTGGGGAGAATGCTCCTTACACTTGTGGTCACTGGGGAGAATGCTCCTTACACTTGTGGTCACTGGGGAGAATGCTCCTTACACTTGTGGTCACTGGGAAGAATGCTCCTTACACTTGTGGTCACTGGGAAGAATGCTCCTTACACTTGTGGTCACTGGGAAGAATGCTCCTTACACTTGTGGTCACTGGGAAGAATGCTCCTTACACTTGTGGTCACTGGGAAGAATGCTCCTTACACTTGTGGTCACTGGGAAGAATGCTCCTTACACTTGTGGTCACTGGGGAGAATGCTCCTTACACTTGTGGTCACTGGGGAGAATGCTCCTTACACTTGTGGTCACTGGGGAGAATGCTCCTTACACTTGTGGTCACTGGGGAGAATGCTCCTTACACTTGTGGTCACTGGGGAGAATGCTCCTTACACTTGTGGTCACTGGGGAGAATTACCCCCTTGCAGATAGCTAAAAAGATCAATGGTGTCAGTGGGAACTCATCTAAGACGAAATTGCTCAAGGAACCCCTAGCAAACTTGGGAGGAACCTTAGTTGAGAAACCCTGGTGTAAACTGTGCTGGAGTCAAGTTATCCCACCCCAGCCAATTCAGACGATCAAAGCCTGCCATCCAGAAGAAGAAGCTGGTTGGGGATTGGAACTGTTATAGTAAATGCTGGGTCTTGGGTTTAGTAACACTTTATCTGGTCTTCCACAGTACACAAAACATGAAAATGCAATTACTTTAGTAAATATAAACTACTAAATACCTTTTCTCATCAGCAGTATATAGCAGTTTTGTGACTTCTATCAGTGCCCAGCAAAGCACTGGTTAAAGCTTGTAGTTTTCCTTCTCCCCTGATTGTCCTATGAGGCTGCATAGCCCCTGACCCTCTGTCTGGACAATGCTGATTGGCCTTGTGCTGATCACATGCACTCTTCCAAGAAAAAGAAAAAAAAAAAAAAAAAAAAAACTCTCTAGCAATACAAAAAAAACTGAGCATGTGCAGCTTGCCCCAAAGCTCTGTTCTATCAGGAGATATTTAGGGGACAATGGAAGAGGGGGAGGATCAGACAAGTGAGGATTGTGTTTTTACACAATGCGAAGGATTAACCCCTTAGGTTCCACAGTGAGTATAACAAGCATGCTTTACTTCATATACAGACTGACTTTACTGTTGTGGGTTTAACAACACTTTGAAGGAAAGGCAAACTTAACGCTGCTATAAAACAGGCAGCAAGACCATATTGTCTCCTCACTGCCTGTCATATGGCTACGAAAAGCGACCCACCAGAGGGGTGGCAAGGGCTGCCATATATATGAATGAGCCCGTTCACCTTTCGCATAGTGGGAATGCGCATTCCTGCTCACAATTTATTTTTAGCAATCCGCATACGTTTCTGTGTGTCGCACATAGGGTAGCCCAACCATTTTAACAGGCTGCCCTATCAGCTTTTCTTGCAGTAAAGAGGATCAAGAACCAAACTTTGGCCCTGAGCCCGTCGCAAATTTTTCAACTATGCTTTTTGCCGCCATGTGTGAACGTGCCGCGGAAAAAGAAGCGTGTCCTATTTACTTCAGTGCTTTGATGTGGAGGTAAGTCTGGGGAGTTGAGGTAGATTGCCTTGTGTGAATGAGCCCCGAGGAGCCCTAGTCCTGAGGTAGATTGCCTTGTGTGAATGAGCCCCGAGGAGCCCTAGTCCTGAAGTAGACTGCCTTCTGCGAATGAGCCCCAAGGAGCCCTAGTCCTGAGGTAGACTGCCTTGTGCGAATGAGCCCCGAGGAGCCCTAGTCCTGAGGTAGACTGCCTTGTGTGAATGAGCCCCGAGGAGCCCTAGTCCTGAGGTAGACTGCCTTGTGTGAATGAGCCCCGAGGAGCCCTAGTCCTGAAGTAGACTGCCTTCTGCGAATGAGCCCCGATGAGCCCTAGTCCTGAGGCAGACTGCCTTGTGTGAATGAGCCCTGAGGAGCCCTAGTCCTGAGGTAGACTGCCTTGTGTGAATGAGCCCCGAGGAGCCCTAGTCCTGAGGTAGATTGCCTTGTGTGAATGAGCCCCGAGGAGCCCTAGTCCTGAAGTAGACTGCCTTGTGTGAATGAGCCCCGAGGAGCCCTAGTCCTGAAGTAGACTGCCTTCTGTGAATGAGCCCCAAGGAGCCCTAGTCCTGAGGTAGATTGCCTTGTGTGAATGAGCCCCGAGGAGCCCTAGTCCTGAGGTGCCTTGTGTGAATGAGCCCTGAGGAGCCCTAGTCCTGAGGTAGACTGCCTTGTGTGAATGGCCCCGAGGAGCCCTAGTCCTGAGGTAGACTGCCTTGTGTGAATGAGCCCCGAGGAGCCCTAGTCCTGAGGTAGATTGCCTTGTGTGAATGAGCCCCGAGGAGCCCTAGTCCTGAGTAGACTGCCTTCTGTGAATGAGCCCCTAGTCCTGAGGCCAGACTGAGTGTGAATGAGCCCCAAGGAGCCAAAGTCCTGAGGCAGACTGCCTTGTGTGAATGAGCCCCCGAGGAGCCCTAGTCCTGAGGTAGATTGCCTTCTGTGAAAGAGCCCCAAGGAGCCCTAGTCCTGAGGTAGATTGCCTTGTGTGAATGAGCCCCGAGGAGCCCTAGTCCTGAGGTAGACTGCCTTGTGTGAATGAGCCCCCGAGGAGCCCTAGTCCTGAGGTAGATTGCCTTGTGTGAATGAGCCCCGAGGAGCCCTAGTCCTGAGGTAGATTGCCTTGTGTGAATGAGCCCCGAGGAGCCCTAGTCCTGAGGTAGACTGTCTTGTGTGAATGAGCCCCGAGGAGCCCTAGTCCTGAGGTAGACTGCCTTGTGTGAATGAGCCCCGAGGAGCCCTAGTCCTGAGGTAGATTGCCTTGTGTGAATGAGCCCCGAGGAGCCCTAGTCCTGAGGTAGACTGCCTTGTGTGAATGAGCCCCGAGGAGCCCTAGTCCTGAGGTAGATTGCCTTGTGTGAATGAGCCCCGAGGAGCCCTAGTCCTGAGGTAGATTGCCTTGTGTGAATGAGCCCCGAGGAGCCCTAGTCCTGAGGTAGACTGCCTTGTGTGAATGAGCCCCGAGAAGCCCTAGTCCTGAGGTAGATTGCCTTGTGTGAATGAGCCCCGAGGAGCCCTAGTCCTGAGGCAGACTGCCTTGTGTGAATGAGCCCCGAGGAGCCCTAGTCCTGAGGTAGATTGCCTTGTGTGAATGAGCCCCGAGGAGCCCTAGTCCTGAGGTAGATTGCCTTGTGTGAATGAGCCCCGAGGAGCCCTAGTCCTGAGGTAGACTGTCTTGTGTGAATGAGCCCCGAGGAGCCCTAGTCCTGAGGTAGACTGCCTTGTGTGAATGAGCCCCGAGGAGCCCTAGTCCTGAGGTAGATTGCCTTGTGTGAATGAGCCCCGAGGAGCCCTAGTCCTGAGGTAGACTGCCTTGTGTGAATGAGCCCCGAGGAGCCCTAGTCCTGAGGTAGATTGCCTTGTGTGAATGAGCCCCGAGGAGCCCTAGTCCTGAGGTAGACTGCCTTGTGTGAATGAGCCCCGAGAAGCCCTAGTCCTGAGGTAGATTGCCTTGTGTGAATGAGCCCCGAGGAGCCCTAGTCCTGAGGCAGACTGCCTTGTGTGAATGAGCCCCGAGGAGCCCTAGTGCTGAGGTCTGCTCACACGTAGGAGCCCCACACACAAGGCTATTACAGATTATCCATCCATAGACAGGTCACTCTGGCTCTCCTATGTCCACCAGAACATGCTGTGGAAGAACATTAGAAGACACTGGCCGTAAGAAGAGTGTTCCCTATAACACGCTCCCTATGGGGACAGGTAGAGCCGTGTACACCCGCTACGGCCTATAGAGCCTGCACCTCCTCCGCTCTTTCCTGACAATGGGGGCGGCTTACCTCGCTGGTACTGGCCGAGGAGGCAGCACTGGGGGTCGGGGATCTCTGCAGGGTGACCAGAGCCATGGCTGCTGTGTCCTGTACCCGGTGATGGGATTCGGAGGGTGCCTGGTGAGAATGGCCGGACAGGTGTTGTCAGCTCAGGTACACAAAGCGCTGCTGTCCATCGCCTGTAGTATCCAGGCACCAGGCTGTGCTATTCTCCACGGCCGGCCTCTGCCCGTACCATGTCCCCACCGCTCTGTGATTGGACGGAGCCGTCCTCCTCTACAGCTTGGTTTATGCTCTGACCCCCAGCATGATCCTCCATCCCCGCGGATCCCCAGCTCCCCCTACTGGTGACATGGAAAGACACACGGACTGCCGAGCAAAGTGTCACATTCGATTGTTACCCTTTCATCGAGTTATCTCTGCGACCACCAGGATGTCAGGGCCAGGGGCGGACTGACAACTCATGGGGCCCCCGGGCAATAGGGGATCATGGGGCCACTGTGTCCTTGCCAAAACTCAAAAAAGCCTATGAAAAAGGTACCAGTAGCATCTCATGGGGCCCCCTACTGACCCCGGGCCCTCAGCTTTGCCCGAGTTTCCAAATGGTCAGTCCGCCCCTGGTCAGGGCCATAATATGCAAGACCACTGACAGGGATTGTGCCTCTGTAACCCCAGGTTCACACACAAGCGTTTTCTACAGCGTTTTGCAGAAACACAGGACAGTCCATATAACATGATTTCCAATGAGACATGTTCACATCTCTGCGTTTTCACCCGGTGCGTTTTTTAGAAAGGGTAAGGCTAGGTTCACATCTGTGCTGGTGGTGCCACTGCGGATCTGTGCGAAAATCCGCACCACCCACAAAGAAGAATGTGGACCTGCGGGCGGGTGCCATTAGTTCTAATGGCACGTCGCTCGCTCTGGAATTCGCAACCGCACTGGGAGCCCAGGTTCCCGTGCGGGCTGTGGTTTCCAAAGAAGTGCAGGGACTTCTTCCCTGCGTGCAAAATGAATGGGCTCTTGTGCCCGCGCAAAACGCGGTCCGCGCGGGCCGCATATATGTGAACCATGGGTCAGGGCGCATGCGCGTTTTTGACACATTCCGTTGTTTTTTTAATGCATTCCAGTTCATTTCTTCCCCTCTTTTTCTTCAATTTAAATAGAGACGTGTGCTTTCCAGTGCGTTTTTGGTGCATTTTGATGCGCTTCAGTCCGTTTGTGATGCGTTCTACCGCATTCCAGTGCAGTTCTGTGCATAAAAATGCAGCCTGTTCTGCTTTTTTTCTGCTTCCGGATCGCACTGGAACTGCAAGGACTGATGTGAACTATGACATTGACAACCATATAGCCTACTTTCTCTATGTCTTGGATGCAGAAAAAAAGAAACTGGAACACATGTAGTGTGAACTGGCTCTTAGGGACTTTTTTGAATGCAAATTGTTGCGTTTTTGGTTCTATAGACTTCAATGGAGTGCATTTTTGATGCATTTTTGACGTGTTTTTGATGCATTTTGCGTTTTAAATCTGCCTAGCAACAAGAAAAATTAAGAAAAAAAAAGAAAAACATATCAAAAACGCTGGTGAAAAACGCAAAACGCAATGCAAAAAACGGGTCAAATGCAAACTGCATAGGTGTGAATCTAGCCCAGCAATGGGCAAACTACGGCCAGCGGGCCGTATACGGCCCGGCAGACCTTTTAATCTGGCCCGCGGAGCTAGGCTCCCGCTAGGCTCCCGCTAGGCTCCTCTCACAGTCCGCTCTGTTTCCTATGAGGATCTGTCCCCCCTCGACGTATCTGCGCATGTGCCGGAGATCGCCGATCGGCTGCTAATGCCTGAAACTGGCACATGCGCAGATACGTCGAGGGGGACAGATCCTCATAGGAGACAGATTTTCATGCTACACCGAACGGCGCGGGAACAAGAGGAACGCGCGGAGCAAAGGTAAGTGAATTGACACAGGGGGGACATGGGGGGATGAATTACTATAGGGGGGATGAATTACTATGTGGGGGAGAATTACTATGTGGGGGATGAATTAATATGTGGGGATGAATTACTATGTGGGGGATGAATTACTATGGGGGATGAATTACTGTATGGGGGATGAATTACTATGGGGGATGAATTACTATATGGGGGATGAATTACTATATGGGGGATGAATTACTATGGGGGATGAATTACTATGGGGGATGAATTACTATATGGGGGATGAATTACTATGGGGGATGAATTACTATATGGGGGATGAATTACTATGGGGGATGAATTACTATATGGGGGATGAATTACTATGTGGGATGAATTACTATGAGTTGGTGCCCTGGTTGGGATATGAACCAACAACCCTACTGCTGCCAGGTCGAAGTGCTAACCATTTAGCCACTGTACTGACCCTAAATATGCACTGTTCAGGAGATAGTCTAGTGAGTGGCAGCTGGTGACAGCACCAGCACATGTGCTCTCAATGTGCCATCCCAACAAAGCTACATGCCACGTCCAAAACTTCTGCGCATGTGACATCATCGCGGCTCGGCCAGTCAGACAGCCAGATCACGCGAACCCCGAAGGAAGACCGGGTGAAAATGGAAGCCCTGTCAGCAGTGAAAGCGCGCCACTGGAGGGCTTCAGTCTAAGGTAAGTACTTCATAATGTGCTAGTATGTGACGTACACTAGTGCAGTATGCCATTGTCTTGCAGGTTTTTTTTTTTTTCTTTAAAGGTGGTGGTTTACTACCTCTTTAAAATCACACCACATCCCATGTAACACTACCCCCTTAGGAGTCGCTGAAGATTTGGGTCCCCCCTATAGTCATTTACAGCCAGGCAACACGCTTTTTTCACAGACTTGCATTCTGGATTACATTGGGTAGGAACATACAGTATGTCAGGGGTAGGTAACCTTTGAGAGGTGGAGATCTATCTGAGTAACACGGAAGAGATCAGAGATCACTGAGGTGCAGCACCCTTTTTTATTTATTTATTTTTTTAAAGAAATTAAAGTGGAGCTCCAGTCAAAATCTAAACAAATAAAATTCAACAGGTACAAAAACTGTAGCAGCTGACTTTTAAAAAACATACCCTCACCTGTCCCACGATCAGGGGCGGACTGTCCATTTGGAAACTCGGGCACCGCCTGAGGGCCCAGGGTCAGTAGGGGGCCCCATGACATGCATCTGGTACCTTTTGCATAGGCTTTTTTGTTTTGGGCAAGGCACAGGGGCCTCCATGATCCCCTATTGCCCGGGGGCCCCATGAGTTGTCAGTCCGCCCCTGCCCACGATCCAGCGGTGTCCTCACCGCAGCTGGTTTCACCGGCCGTCCTCTCTCCCCGGTGCCGGCATCTTAAGTGTGGGCACCTGGCTGTGACAACTTGTGGCTTCATAGCCAGGTGTCCACTGCACATGTGCGACTAGTGCTGAGCCTTGTGAATGGTCCTGTCACGTGTCCCAGAGGATTATGGGGAGGGAGGACAACTTCAGCTTCTCATCACCTAGGCCAGTGTTTCTCAACTTTTTTCAGTCAAGGCGCCCTTTAAAATTCTGCACCCAGTCAAGGCACCCATTCTAAAATTTTAAAAAACAAAACTTACAGTTTTACATAACACAGCAACACCCACATATGTAGGCCACTCAACATTAGAGGTGATTTATTCTTCCAAAGCAAATACGCCTTTGTGCACTGGTACTGAGTAGTATTCCAATGTTTCTCCTCTGCCTCAGTTTCTCTCCCTCACTCAGATAATGTGACCCCAGTGCTGATGGAGAGGGATAGGAGAGGGGCAAACAAGGATGCTATGCATGCGCCAAACATCCCCCTTATCAACCGCAATGTCACTGGATGTTAGGACACCAGTGGCTAGAAAGTTGTAGTGGTGCACAATGAAAACCTGTGGCTTTGTGTCACTAAAAGGCAGGCTGATCCATCCGCTGGCTTGTGTACAATTGGGCAATTTTTAGACATTTTGCCAAGACACCCCTGAAGACACCTAAAGGCACCCCAGGGTGCCTAGGTACCCTGGTTGAAAAAGGCTGGCCTAGGCGATTCCAGCAGAGGTGGAGGTGGGTACCTGTCAAAAGTGGATACCCACTCCCTCACTTCCCAAAAGTGCCAATCCTTAATGGGGAGCGGGGGAAGAGGCCTTAAAGTGGAACATCCTCTCTTGGGTGGAGCTCCACTTTAACTAGCAAGGCCCCAATAAAAAAAAATATAAATATATATATATATATATATAAAATATATTAAAACAAATGTCACTGTAAAAACAAGATGTATATATTTACCTATTTTCAGCCTGCCCTGGTCCAATCATGTGATTTTACCTGTTTCAGTCAATGGAAGCTGCAGGGGAGAAAGTTCTTGGAGACGGCTGATAAAACCTGAAGTGGTGATGTCACCCATAGGTTCCCATGTCCACAGCTGTTGTAGGCTCTCCCTCCTCTCCCCTGAATGCGTTGCTGGATCACGCAGCTGAGAAAATGTGACCAGAATGGAGCAACCTGAAAATAGGTTAGTTAGCATAGGTGTGGAAAATTCATATGAAAATTCTCAGAACATTCAAATTTTGTTCAAAAGATTTAATTTGCTTTTAATATTTGATTTTGGAGAAATGAGTTAGTTTGTGAAAAAATTTCCATCCTGTTCCTTCATATTTTCTCATCCCTGCTGTCAAAAACAAACGAACACTAATGATTAGGAAAATGGACATTCTTTTCTAAGAATTTCATTCAGAATTCTACCCATCTATGGCTAGCTTTAATCTTCACATTCTGGTTTCAAACGTTTCTGTTTGTGTTCAAGCGTGTACATGCAGCATGGCACTGCACAGGTTAAAGTGATGATACTAAACCCAGGACCCTGCATTCACTATACCTGGCCTCCCACAGTACACACAACATGGAAATGCAATTCTTTTAGTAAACATAAACTGAATACCTTTTCTCATCAGCAGTTAGAGCAGTCTTGTGACTTCAGCAGAGCACTGGTTAAAGCTTGTAGGAGGAGTTTTCTTTCTGCTCTAGGAGGATGTGAAACCTCTGACCCTCTGTCTGGACAGGGCTAATTGGCCCTG